TGGGAGCCATTGCTTGGGCGACGCCGCAACGCTGGGGCTGGGGCCGACGAACCCACTCCCGCGCGGGAGGCGTTCAAGGCGGAGTGCCACCAGAAATTCCCCGAGCCTGCCCCTACTCGGCACTTTGTCCTCGCCGACGAAGCTTGCCCACTCCGCCCGCGCCCCCCCTGCTATCCGAGCGGGGGGCGTGGGTGGCTGGGCCGCGAAGGGTGCCGAAATGCTCCCTGAGCCCTGCGCTTGTTCGCCAAAGCGCTGAAAGGCATGCGGCGCGCAAGGAAGGTGCCATAACTGCTTCTCTACATGCCAAGCCCGCGTCTCCGTAAGCTTCGAAGACGCTGGCCCATCGTTGCCTCGCGTCATGAAGAGTGCACTAGGCCCGCCCAGCCAGCGTCGGCGCAGTCCCGCACGCCACCACCAGCGACGCCATCACCTCGCTTGCCACGCAGGCGGGGCACGCCCGTCATCTGAGCGAGCCGCCCGCAGGTGCGACGCCAGCAGGCAGATCTGTTTCGATTACCTCGTCGCGGACATATTCTTCCACCGCGCGTTTCGCGTCGGGCGCCCACCAGACATCGCCCATGTTAGGGGGCCTTCCATTCCAACCACGAGAGACGCATTAACATCGGCTGAGCCCATTCAGAACACCCGGAGCGCACCAACGGCCACCAACGGGGTAGCTCCGTCTCACTCGACGACATCCAACTTCTCACGTGCGTCTGGGCAGAGCGACAGCACAGGTAGTGCGCACCGCGCTCCCTCAGCTCCGGGTTCGTTGACGGCGGAGACTCCGCCGTCCCCGCGGCTGGCGAACTGCGAGCAGCGCTGGGGTAAGCTGCCCTGTGCGACTGCCCCTCGGTCCAACATCCACTTGGCCAAGCGGCGGGGTGGGCAGTCGTCGCGGAGCTCCACGGCCAGGTTGAAGACTGTAACTCAGAGCGTGAATTACCTACCCCGCTTTCGCTTCCCGGCAAAACCAAGTCATACCACGTGCCTCCTCGTCAAGCGGCCTGACCAGTACAGGCCGTAGTTTGGCATCGTTTGGTATCTCTTGGAAGCGAGGGTGGTCGCAAGCGAGGTAGGTTTGTTTGCCCCCTAGTAACCTCAGCGGCCAGCCTCTCCAAGCTCATCGCCGCGAGAATACTGCAGGGGGCGACGTCGACGCTGCGCCGGCTGCGGAGGGCCTGGGCCTCGAGCTCCCCTCGCCGCGGACGCCCGGGCCCGCCGCGCCGCAGCCCGAGCCCCCCTTGTCGGGCGCTTCCCCGAAAAGGGCTTGTGCGAGAGCCCCCCCGGCGACGAGCGAGCGCGCCGCCGGCGCCGACGTCCAGGCGCGCGGCGCCAAACCTCGAAACGCATGCATCAACGCGTCGCTCGCTGCTGGCGCCCCAATTGGCGGGCGTGGATAGCTCGGCGGGCCGTCGAGGCCCCCGTCTGCCTGGGCCGCGACTACATGCCATCGCGCAGCGTTCGGTCCGCCCATTAGCTACGCAGGCAGGCGCGACGGGATGCTGGTCTCAGCGACAAGGGCCAAGCGGTGCGACTAGGGCGCGCGCCTATCATGGCCTTCCGACCGATATGTTCACGCGTGCTCGGGGCATCGCAGAGGCGCGCCTTCTTCCAACGACCCCCCCAGCGCCAGACGCGACCTCTGCGCCGCGGCGGCCGCCAAACAAGGCCTCGACTACTTCGCCGACGCCCAGTTCCAGAGAACCAGCGGCGAAGCCCAATGCGCCGCGCGACAATTCGGCCCCCTGGCATAACTGTCGCCCCCGCTGCGCTGGCGATGCGTCCGGGAAGAGGAGGCGGGGGCGCGCCGCCCGGGGATGTCCGCGCAGGGCCAATGAACGACAGGCGCACAGATCTCCCGCCACGCGCGCGGCATTGGACTCCTGGGCGAGGATGCAAAACTCCTCGACCAGCAGGCCGACCTCGCCCGAGACGAACTATCACAGCCCATCCTCAGACCGCCGCCACAATGTCAGGACAAGGACCATTTCGACGCATGCACCGACCCGGCCACGGAAGATAGGTGGGCCTTCGCAGCCGCCCACGGAGCGCCACGCCCATCACCTGCGTTACGGACCAGAGAGAGCTCCAGCTAAACCACTCCCCGAGTCCACGGCGTGGCGCAGTCAGCGCGACGCGCTGAAACCTTGGCGCTCCTCCACATCACCGCCGCGGCTGCGAGGCCCCTCCGCGTCGCCGTCGACAAATGAGCCGTCGTCGACGGTTTCGGAACCCCCTTCGGAGAAACATCGGGTGGTCCGCGCCAAACCCGGCATGTTCAAGGACCACAGACATGTCGAAGGCCACCTCGGGGAGCAAGCGGTCAAGCGGGGGCGTCTCTCACCTATCGCCGAAACCTGCGCTGACGAGTTGGTTGAAGCGGGGGTCCCGCGTGCACTTCGCGCCGCGCAGCGTCGCGGACGCGGCCAACTGTAGACGTGCAATCTCGGCTGTCCTTCGCAGCCTGCGGTCGCGCAATGCGGCCGCCGCTCCCGCGCCCGCCCGCTACCCGCCCGTCGAGCGTGATCGGCGGGGGGCGGTGACGAGCCGCCAGGCCCGCTTGGTGACCCGCCCCGCTCCCAAGGCCCACCTGGGCCACCTCCCCCACCGACCAATGGGGGGGGCAGTCGAGAACGACGATGACGACCCCCCCGCGCGCGCCAGGCTGCCATGACTGCGACGGCCACGATGTAGCCGACGACCGCCCACCTCCATTCACAAGCAGGCGCGCGACGGCGCAGACCCAGGAGATGGAGGTCCACCAGGACCCCGCCGCAGACAAATCCAATCACGACCCACGCAGAGGAAAATTTGGAAATTTGGGCCGACCACGCGGGAGGCAAGACAGACCCCGCCGCCCCCACCCCCCACGCAGACAGCCGCGCCCCAGGGCACATCTGCGACAGCAGCGCCATCCGCCTGGGAGGGGACTTGCGCGCTGTAGGCGAGGGGTCGCGGACGGCGCTCGAAAGGGCCAGCGCCATCGCCTCAACCCGCTGGGCTGGCCAGTGCTGCTGCGCACCCAGCCCCCCAAAGCAGTACTTTTTGCCGCCGACCAAATCCCCCACCCCGCCAGAGAGCGGGAATCAAAAGCTCTTGTAATTACCACCCACTAGCGCGCAGGTGCCCGATCGACACCAGTGCGGCGAGCCGACCGGACGGGTGTCCTCAAGCAGCGCCTCGCTCCAGTCAAGCCACGGCCACCGCTGAATCGTGAACCCGCGTTCGCCTCAGGTCAAGTATCCCAGCGATTCAGCAACGTGCCTCCAGGGTCGCGCTCGCGCTGAGCAACATCCAGGAACAGTCCAGACCCCTTCTCGACAGTCTCCAAAGAGCACAGTCCACTTCGAACGACCTCCAACATGCCTTCCACACGCCCGCCCTCTTCTTTGCAAGTCGGCCACTCAAGGCTCGACTTGCTGCTCTTCGCCAACGCGCCATTGCTTGCTACCTCCTTCCTCTCACGTTCCGTGCCCCGCGAAAGCTCCTGCTCACAAGCTCCGATGACCCAGTTGTGGGCCGCAGGGGAGGGGGCCCCAAGGCGGCGCCTTCAGAACGCAGGGTTTTGATGCGCGCGTGCCAAAGCGTGCTGAATGCCGGAGTGGCTTTTCAGGTTCGGGTGCGCAGACGGGGCGTGCCATGCCCCGATCGCCACAACCCGCCAGCTTAGCTTTCCCAGTCGCGGTCCCCTTTTCGACTGCGCCCGGGGGGGGTCTCCGCCACCCCTGCCACGTACGAGCGGCCTCTCCCGCCACAGGGGGTGGGTGCAGCGGGCGCTAGTACCGCGCGCGCCCCACGGACACTCCGCCCAAGCTGTTGCGCTCTCGCTTCTGCCCTCCCTCTCCTCGTTTCGGGACATGTTCTCAGAGCCCCGGATTATCAGGGGGAATTCGGGTCAGGGCTAACTCGGGTTCGTTTTTCGGGATTCCGAACCCGACTTACCCTGGACCCGACTTACCCCGGATAGTTCGGGCGTCCAGAGCCCCGAATCATCAGGGGTATCTCGGGTCAGGGCTAATTCGGGCTCCTATTTCGGGAATCCGTACCCGACTTACCCCGGACCCGAGTTACCCCGGATAACTCGGGCGCCCAAAGTACCGCGCGCGCCCCACGGACACTCCGCCCGAGCTGTTGCGCTCTCGCTCCTGCCCTCCCTCTCCTCGTTTCGGGACGTGTTCGCCTCCCTTCCTCGTCTCGTTTCGGGACATGTTCGCCTCTCTCTCCTCGTTCCCCTCTCCCTCTCCTCGTCTCCCTCTCCTTGTTTCCCTCTCCTCGTCTCGTTTCGGGACATGTTCGCCTCCCTCTCCTCGTTTCGGGACATGTTCGCCTCCCTTCCCCTCCTCGTCCGTCCTCCCGCTCCTCGTCTTCGAGCCCCGCGCGCGCGCAGGAGAGAGCTCCCGCGGGCGTGGAGGGGGCAGGGCGAGGAGGGGTTTGGGCAGAGCGCTGATGCTGTTGATGCTGACGATGCTGCTGCTGCTGCTGATGATGATGATGCTGGTGCTGCTGCTGCTGCTGCTGCTGCTGCTGATGATGATGATGATGATGATGATGATGATGCTGGTGTTGGCGATGATGGTGGTGGTGGTGATGATGCAGATGCTGATGCTGATGGCGACGATGATAATGACGTTGATGCGGCTGCTGCTCCTGATGAGTGGATTGATGATGACGACGATGACTATGACGATGATGATGGTTACGCTGATGATTGTGGTGGTGGTGATGGTGAGGAGGATGGTAAAAATGATGGTGATTGGTGATGCTGAGGGGGAGGACGAGGTCGAGGACGATGGGCAGGAATGCCTTCCCTCGCATTCAGCTACTCTCGCCTTCGGCGGTAGCTGGGGGAGGGTCGGCGGAAATACGAAACGGCGGCGGTTCCGTTGGTGGAAGGCCGGCGGAAACCGCCAGAAGGAAAGGCGAGACGTCAAACGTATGTTTGGATGGTTGCCGGAGTCGGCCACGTTGCGGGCCCCCCTCGGGCTGCTCTCGGTGAGGTCGCGAGGGCCATCCAGCGGAACTACCGAGCGAAGAAGAAGGCGGGGCTGTTGGGCGAGTCGCCACGCGTGCCTCTTCCGAAAATCGTCCTCGTCTCTCGGGACATTCGGGGAGCAAAAGAGAATGTGTGCCTGCCCTGCCGTCCCTTCCTCCAGGCCCTGCTCCTCATCTGCCCTCCCCTTTCTCATCCTCTTCCCCCGCCTTCCACTCTTCCCCTTACGCTTCCTCCTGGTGTGGCAACTTGCGACGGCAACCTGCCCCCCATCCCACCCCTTTCACGTACAACTATTCCTCGCGGGTGCCACATTTCTCTCTTCTTTATCCCTTGACAGCGTCTTGAGTTGGGGTCCCGCCCCGTACTGTTGCAATCAGTTGTTCCCCTGTGGTCCTTCAAAACGGTGTTCCCGCAGCAGCGTTAGCCACATTTCAGGATCGGTGCGCGATTTCCGTCGTTCAGCATGGCACGCTCGCCCCAGCATTGGGCTACATTTCTGGAACCGATTCCATCCGAGTCGTAGAATATTCCCTCCTTCCCCTTCCTCCGCCTTTCTCTGCGGCTGCTGCTGCTGCTTCTCGTCCAGTGTGCGCAGGGCTCCCCTCGCCAATCGGATTGCAAACGGTGGATCAAGTCCTGCCGCTGCCATTTAGGGATCAAGGTATTTACGACACCCTGCTCGGCGGATAGAAGAGCGTTCAACGCGCAACGTGACCAGATGGACGAGATGGGGTAGGATGTTAGAGTGGTCCGAGCATACCCAGATTGCCCTTCTTAAGTTACGCAGGGTGAGCACTACTCTCCTCTTTCCCCTGAGACTGTCTTGTATCTGGGCGCTCACTCTCCCGCAGCACAGGAATTCAGCTGTGTTGTGTTAATTTTCTTTCAATTGGACCGCTTTCGGTTCTAGAGATGGTGCCCCCACTGCAGCGTTGGTCGCATTTCATGCTCGGAGCTTTGCCTTCGCTGTTTAGGCTTAACTTCTTGTCCAAGCGCGGGCCACACGACTGGATCTGATTCCTTACTCGTGGTTCCTCCTCCTCCTCGTCCTCCTCCTGCTCGTTCCTCTGCTCCTTCTCCTGCCCCTCCGCCTCCTGGTCCTCATGCTCGTTCTTATGTTCATTATGCTCATCATCCTCATCATGCTCTCCCTTATCATTCTCAGCCTCCCCGCAGCCTTCCTCTTTCTGCTCTCAGTCGTCTTTTCTCTCGTCATCCTCTTGTTTTTCCATCTCCTCCGCCTCCTCCTCATCATCATCATCGTCCTCATCCTCCATCCTCTTCCTCTTTCTGCTATTCGTTTCTATGTTGTGGTTTCCCTTCCTGTTCTTCAACCTACGCCTCCTCCCTCTTTCCTCGTCTTTCATCATGCTTGCCTTGCTGCTTCGACCTCTGCGCCCTGATTTCCGAAGGCCGCCATTGCAAATGCAAGTGTTACCCGTTTGGGGCGCGACGTGAACTCCAGAACCCGATTACGAAAACCAAATGCAGGAGAACACAACTCTGATCGGAGGATGGGTTCCCAGGAGGTGGATTTGCGAAACCCATTACGTCGCGCGAAACGCCAACGCGCGCGCGCGCCACGGCGAATTCAGTTTTCACATATTGGGGCTGTAAGTTAAATCCAAAACCCAACTGCGAAACCTCAATGTAAGTATGCATTCGCAGGTCGCAAGATGGGCCCATCATATTGGACATGTGCGACACCGAATGCGCCATGCGAAGCGCGCGCGCTCGCGCCTCGCGGCATGACGGATGTCGTTTGCACGCGTTGGGGCGCGATGTCAACGCCAAAACCCAAGTGTGAAAACCCAGTGTACAAACTCATTTTTGGATCGGACGGCATGCCCGTCACATTGTGGACATGCGAAGCCGAATGCGCAATGCGAGCTGCCAGCGCGCGCGCGCTAGCGCGTCGCGCCAAGGCGGGTGCGGTGGGAATGCGTCGAGGCGCACCTGGTCGCTCCAAAACCCAATGGCGAAAACCCACTGTTAATATTCATTATGTGGTCGGAAGGTTGGCGCATCATATCGTGGATATGCGAAACCGACTGCGCCGCGCAGAGCGCCGTCGCGCGCGCGGACGGCATGGCGCATGCACGCGTGTAGACCCCAACGCCCACATTCGAAGGGCGCGCGCGTTCGCGCGCGCGCGTGCGCGCGCGTGCGTGAATGGGCGCGCGTGCGGCCTGCGTCGGCTTGCATCGGGCTTGCGCGCGGCGCCCACGTCGCCCTTGCATTGCCTGCAGATGGCCTGCGCGCGCCCTACGCCTGACTTGCATGTGGCCTGCGCCTTGCTTGCATCGCATCTGGCTTGCGCTTGTCGCGCGCCTCGCCTGCGTCTGTCTTGCATCTGGGGTGGGTGTGTGTGTGTGTGTGTGGGGGGGGGGGGGGGGCGGGTGATGTCTGTCTCGGCCGCGCGCGCGCAGAGGGGCGTCGGGGCTGAAGCGGTCGCGGGATGGGGGGCGCGGTGGAAGGGAGGGTGCGGCGAGAGGCAGCCGCAGAGGGCGGGCGCGCGCAAAACCACCACACCTTGCACCTGACTTGCATCTGGATTGAGCATGGGCTGCCGCTGGCGTGCGCACGGCTTGCACGCGGCTTGCACCCGGCCTGCGCGCGGCCTGCGTCGGGCGCGCAGCTGGCCTGCAGCGCGCCTGCACCTTGCCCGCGCGTGGCCCGCATCTGGCCTGCACGTGGCTTACATCTGGCTTGTATCTGGCCTGCGCCTGCCTTGCATGCGGGTTGCATATGGCGCGCGTTGCGGCCTGCACCGGGGTTGCATCTGTTGTGGGCCTGGCGACCATATGGTCCGCATCTGGCTCGCTGTTGCCCTGCGCCTGGCCTGCGTCTGGCTTGCGTCGGGCTCGCGTGTGGCCCCCGTCGGATCCGCCCTGCATCTAGGCAGCGCCTGGCTGGCACTTCGCCTGCGACTGGCGCGCGCCTGGCTGGCAGATGGTTCGCATCTGGCTCGCATCTGGCAGTCGCGAGAGGGGGGGGGGGGCGCGGCAGCGGCGGCGGCGGCGGCGGTGGCAGGTCGGAGGCGGGGCGGCGCGGCTGGGCCGGCGAGCCGAGACGGGCGCAGACGCGCTGCCCCAGCCCGCGCGAACCCCAGCCGCGCCGCGGATTTGCAGCAGAAGACCGCTGCGCGATGCAAGCGCCTTCGCGCGCTGACCTGCGCGCGTCCGCACCGCAATCCTTTTCCAACTGCAGCCTGGTCGCCGACGCCCCGCGCGCAGAACGCTGCGCGCGCGCTGCGCAGAAACGGAACAGAGGGACACGCAGCGGGAACCATGTTGACAATTAATAATGGAAATGCGGGAAATAATGAAAATGAATGAAAAATAATGAAAAAATAAAGAAAAGTAGTGAAAACTAATAAAGAATATTGAAAATTAATAATAGGATTGGATCTCGTTGTGGGGTGGGTTTGCGCGCGCCCGCCCCCTGCCGCTGCCCTCGCCGCCCCCCCCCCGCCCGCCCGCGCCCCCATCGCTCCCCGCCCCCCTCCGCCCGCCCTCCGCCCGCCAACCCTTCGCGCCGCGCGCCCCCCCCATCCCCTCGCCCATCCCGCGACCGCCGCCCCGCCCCGCCCCGACGCCCCGACGCGCGCGCCCAGCCGAGCCCCTTCCCCCCCCCCCCCCCTTCCTTCCCTTCACCGCCCGCACCTCTCCCCCCACCGCCCCCCCTACCCCCCGCCCCACCCACCCGCCCCACCCCCACCACCACCCCGCCCCCACCCCGCACGCCGCCCGCAAGTCCCCCCCCCGCCCCCCTTCCACGCGCGCGCGCGCGCCCGCGCGCCCACGCCCAACCCCGCGCCACAGCCCCCCCCCCGCCCGCCGTCCCGCCGCCCAAGCCAGGCCACAAGCCAGATGCAGGCCATGCGGGCGCCAGATGAGGCCCAGGTTCGAGCCAGACGCAAGCCAGGCGCATGCCACATGCAGGCCAGATGCAAGCCGCATACAAACCAGATGCAGGCCAGCTTCGCGCCAAGCGCAAGTCAGATGCACGCGAGATGCAGGCGAGACGCGCGCCAGGTGCAAGCAGCGTCTACGCAGGATGCAAGCCATTCGCCGCCCAAGCCAGGCCACAAGCCAGATGCAGGCCATGCGCGCGCCAGATGAGGCCCAGGTGCGAGCCAGACGCAAGCCAGGCGCATGCCGCATGCAAGCCAGATGCAAGCCGCATGCACATCAGATGCAGGCCAGCTGCGCGCCAGGCGCAAGTCAGATGCACGCCAGATGCAGGCGAGATGCGCGCCAGGTGCAAGCAAGATCTACGCGGGGGGAGGAGGGGGAGGAGGGAGAGGACAAGGAAGAGGAGGAGAGGGCTGAGGCCGAGGCCGAGGCAGAGGCTGAGGCTGAGGCTGCGGCCGAGGAGGAGGGGGGGGAGGGGGGGGGGAGGAGGAGGAGAGGGAGGTTGAGGAAGAGGGGAAGGAGGAGGATGGCGGAGAAGGAAGGCTGATGGGGGAGGAGGAGGAGGAGGAGGGGGAGGGGGGGAGGAGGAGGAGGAGGAGGATGGGGAGGAGGAGGAGGACGAGGAGGAGGAAGATGGGGAGGGCGATGAGGAGGATGAAAACGAGGAGGGGGAGGAGGAGGCTGAGGCTGAGGCTGAGGCTGAGTCTGAAGCTGTGGCTGAGGAGGAGGAAGAGGAGGGGGAGGAGGATATGGAGGAGGAGGAGGAGGAGGAGGAGGACGAGATGGAGGAGGAGGACGATGGCCTCGAGCTCGTCGTCGGTGCCCACGCGCTCGCTGCTCGAGCTGCGGCGCGGGTCGTCCTCTGAGAAGAGGTCGGACAAACCAGAGTCGTCGTCCACGCCCTTTGCGGGGCCCGAAGCTACACCTCATCCTCTTCCTCCTCATCTTTCTTTTCCTCATCTCATCTTCCTCCTGCTTCGCCTCTGCCTACTCCTCCTTCTCCTCCTCGTCTTCCCCCGCCCCCTTTCCGCCGCGTCTTCCTGATCTCCGACCTCTCATCGAGCATCCCGTCACCCTCGAGGGCCGAGGCATCCAGGGCCGGCGGCATTGGCCGTAAGGCCTTAGCAATGCACCACCACTACCTCCATCGCCCCCATCACCACCACGACGGAGTAAACGAAGGAGAGGGAGGAGGGGGAGGGGGGAAGGCGGTGGCGGTGGTGGAGCCTTGCCCGCCTTTTTGCCGCGCGCCGCGCGGCCGCTGCGGAGCCCCACGTCGTCGCGGCTGCTGCGGCGGTCGCCGTCGCGGCGGCGGCAGTGGCGGGCCGCGCCGTCGCCGCGGCGACGGCTGCGGCGGCCCGCCTCGTCGCCGCGGCTGGAGCGGCGTCCGCGCGAGCCGCCCTCGTCGTCGCTGCGGCCGCGAACCTTGCGGCGCAGCGACTCGAGGTGGTCCCCAGCGCGTTTTGACATGGGCGGGCCGCCGCTGCGCTGCAACAGCGGAGGCGTTGGACGAAGCTACAGTCAACCTATGTAATAAGGATGCGCGGTAAGGATGCAAGGGCTTTGAATCGTCATGATGGTTTTCGCTGGCCAGCGAACTTTGCTGAGGATGGGCCGACGGGGCAAGGATGCAAGGGTGCCGTTGCCGCGTCCGCACAGGAGTCGAGGCGCGCCCTACCCAACGCCTCCGCCGCAGCGGGAGGAGCGAAGCGGGCTGGCTTCGCGTGGAAGCAAATGCCGCCCGAGCCAAACGAGAGGAGGGAAAAACGACAATGATACATCTGCCTTTTTATGCTTCTCCTTCTTGTCCTCCTCCCCCCCTCCTCCCCTCCTCTGCTCCTCCTCCCTCCTTCTGCTCCTCCTCCCTCCTTCTGCTCCTCCTCCGTCCTTCCGTTCCTCCTCCTCCTCTTCCTTATCGCCCTCCTCATCTTTCTGCTCCTGCTCCCTCCTTCTGCTTTTCCTCCTTGTCCTCCTCCTCCTCCTCCTCCTCCTCCTCCCTCCTCTTCCTCCTCCTCCCTCCTCTTCTCCTCCTCCTTTTTCATCCCTTTACCCCCTATCGCAGAAATCATCCGCATTATGTCCTTGAGGGGGAAGCCCTTTTGATGTTGCCAGTGCCTCCGAGGCAATGGCTTAAGGGGCTCTGGCCGCTTCCATCACCCCCCATCACTTAGAACAAACCAAACGGGACTCAACGGAGAAATGACCGCTGATGGCCAATGAACATAGGCCAACCATATATATATATATATATATATATACACGTGTGTGTGTATATATATATATATATATATATATATATATATCAGACAAACCCCAGTGTAAGCGCGACGGAAGTCTCGCGCCAGGACGATTAGGCCAGCCAGAAGTCAGCATTATGCATGCGCCACAACGCAGAGCAGCTTCACGGTGAAAGAACAGGGCGTGGCAGGCGCAAGGGTGCCTTAACAAAAACTTGAGGCATTTTGTTTTTGGGGGAGGTAATTTCTGGGGGAGGTCGGGGCCCTGCTGATTTTAGGAGCCTCTGTGGCCGTCTTGGGAGCGGTCTTGGGGACTTTTTGGGACGCTTTGAGCGTCGGAAGCTGGACAAGTGGAGAACCCTACAAACATTGAAAAACCTTCGTAAGATCCACTATTTTGGCCTCTGGGGCCCTTTTTGGGAGGCTCGCGGGGCTCTCTTGGGGCGTCAGGAAGGGTTCTAGGGCCGTCTTGAGGCCATCTTGGGCGTCTTGGAAAGCTCTTAGGCCGTCTCGGGAGCCTCTTGGACCCTGCTGGGGGCTTATTGGGGCACTGTTCGCCCGTTGGGCGGGGCCACCGTCACAAGGGCCCATGCGACACACCCCGGTAGCGCCTGGTAGCGCCCAGTAGCGATCAGGAGCGCCTGGGAACCCTCCACCTCTCAGGTTGCATGAGCCTCGGGGCATTCCACTACGCGCTGAATGCACGGTGGCGGCTTTCCTACGCGGTGCCATGCATCCGACCTGTGGTTCTCCGTGTTGGTTTGCCGTGCTGCTGTGGTCTGCTATGCTCCTGTGGTCTGCCGTGCTGGTCTGCCGTGTTGTTGTGTTCTGCAATGTTCGGGACTCCGAATCGACTTCGTTCAGGGGCTTCGAACGGCCCAAAGGAGGCCCAAAAGACGCCCCAGAGGGCCCCTAGCGCGCCCAAGAGTCCCCCAAGAGGGCCCCAAGAGGACGCCAAGAGCGCTCCAGGAGGCACCCAGACAGCTCACAAGAACCCCAAGACGGCCCAAGAGGGCCCCAAGAGACTCCCGGGATCGCCCCAGGAGGCACCCAAACGGCCCAAGAAAGGCCCAAGACGGCCCAAGAAGATGGCGCCGAGACGGCCGAAGAAAGTTCCCAACTAACCCCACGACATGTCCAGACAGCTCCAGAGAAGACCCCAGAAGCCCACAAGAGGACCCAAGAGGCCCCCAAGAAGCCCCCAACAGGCCCCAAGACAACCCCGCGCGGCGCCAGGAGCCCCCAGGGTAGCCCGATAGGGTCACCAGGACCCTCTCCTGATTCAACGTCCTTCTCCAATTGCCTCTTACTGTCCTCCGTCGTAGTCGTCGTCGTCGTCGTCGTCGTCGTCGTCGTCGTCGTCGTCGTCGTCGTCGTCGTCGTCGTCGTCGTCGTCGTCGTCGTCGTCGTCGTCGTCGTCGTCGTCGTCGTCGTCGTCGTCGTCGTCGTCGTCGTCGTCGTCGTCGTCGTCGTCGTCGTCGTCTTCATCGTCCTCCGCATTCCTCCTCGTACTCGCCCTCGTTCTTTTCGTCCTCGTCCTTGTGTTTCTCTTCCTCCTCGTTGTCCTCATGCTCCTCCTCGCTATCCTCATTGTCTCCACGTCGTCCTCGTCATCGCCTCCGTCGCCCTCGCCTTTCTTTCGTCTTCTTCGCCCAATAAGCCCATTGGACTAAAGTGGCGCTTCCCGTTCGTGTCCGATCAGGTTTCATGCGCGGTGCCATTCATCCGACCAGGCGTTTCCCGAGTTCCCTACGCGCTAACCAGGATTATCTGGCCTTGCCTCCCCTTTCGCAGTTGACGACGTGGAAGAGGGAGCTTGCAGGGACGACGACATAGTTGACGACGTTGCAGTAAATCCTCCCTCCAAGTTCCTTTCAATTTTTCACTGGGCCAAGCCCTGCTGGTGCATTCAGGGGTGAAGGCCCGATCCCACACCCGACTCGGCGAATAGAGCGGCATTCCACTCCATAGAACAGGATTGGTGGCAGGTGGCAGGGTAGTGTGTCAGATGTGTTGCGTGAGCACCTAGCCTGCCTCCCTCCCATCTCCCCATTCCCCTGCCTCTCCCCTTCCGCACTTCAGGAGGACGGGCGGGGTAGGTGCGCTCTTTCCGCTCCCCGTAATCGCCCGTTCCAGCTCGGCGTTCGGCAAGCACGTCCGCTCATTTTTTGCTGCTATTCTGGTCATCGACCTCCTGAACGCCGCCGTCAGAACCCTGCCTGAGTGGGATCTGAAGAAATACTCCTACATCGAGGACTGGATGCGCTTCGCTGAGTGCGTATTCACAGTGATCTTCGTGGTGGAGTACCTCCTCCTCCTCCTCCTCCTCCTCCTCCTCCTCCTGCCACTCCTCCTGCCACTCCTCCTCATCCTGCCTTCTCCCTCCTCCCTCTTCCCCTTCTCCCCCTCCTCCACAATTAAACAATATGAGTACTACTCCCCTCTCTCCCCTGGTGGCGTCCGGGAAATGTTCGGACCCCCTCCGCGCATTGGTTTTTTACACAGGATTCCAGGGAGTTGGATTTTCTCTTGGTTTTTTTTCAAAGTGCTGCTATCGCTGAAGCGCTGGCTTCATTTTCGGGCTACCGCTGGTTCCGAATCGTGCTCCCGCTGCAGTGCTGGCCGGATTTCCTCGCTTCCGCTCGTTCCGAATCGTGCTCCCGCTGCGGCGCTGGCGTCATCATTTTCAGTGCCACGTCATGGCATGATTTTCGGTCCTTCCAAATAGGCCCCAAACTTTAGAACATGCCCCCCCCCCCCGGAAAAAAAAACATCGGAAGTGATTACACATGCCGTGCCGATTCCTTGATTGATTGGGCCGCAGAAGCCCCTTCCCCCCCCCCACTTTGGGGCGTCGCCACGCCATGCTATGTCATGCTACGCGTCAATCTTCAACACCATGCTATACCATGTAATGCTATGCCATGCTACGACATCCGGTTTCGCGAACAAAGAGGAGATCAACGCCATGGTAAGGGATGGGAGGGAGGGGTAGGACGTCAGATATGACGCGAGCGCACCTAGCTTGCCCTCCTCCCCTCCCTCTACTCCTTCCCCCCTCCTCCCATCGTCCTCCCCAGGTGGAGTACCTGATCTTCTTCATGGCCGCTCCTCCACCTCGCAGCAAGTCAATGCTGAGGCCGGGGCAGCTCTTCCCTCCCGCCCTGCTCTCCCCGCCCTGCCGCCCTCTCCTCGCCCCCTCCCCCCTCTACCAAGCTCTGCCCTCCTCCCTCGAGGGTCGGCAGGGAGGTTCTGGGGCGTTATTGGTTTTGGCCCTCGTCGGGCCTTCCTGGATCCCCGGACCAGCAGGGACCTCCAGGGGTCGGGCCCCGGCGGCAGCAACACGGCGAGCGCGTTTAAGTTTACACTCTGGCAAGTTTGCTTGCATGGTTCCGCCACCATCTCAAACAGCTCTGGGCCGACAAGGCGTGCAAGCGAGCGCCGATTTGTGTGAAGCCCAGATTTCCTCTCGGGCCTCGCCACGACCCCCCCCATCTCCACGCAAGTAATCCTGCTGGGGCTCCCCAAACAGCAACAGACTGTCGCTTGCTAGCCCCCCTCTCCCTGCTGCACCTGCTCCCTTCGAGGCCGTGGCGGCTCTTCGACCTGATCTGCCTCTTCCCAGGGCTGATCGAGATCTTCTACCAGGTGGTGAAGACCACCGACATCCGCGGCACGCAGGCGGAGGCAGTCCTGGAGTCGCTAGTGCTGATCCGCGTGGTGCGCATCCTGGAGCTCCCCTTCTTCAGCCGCGAGGTTCAGGGGCAACGCCACTGGGGATAGGCTCGGGGGTGTGGGGGATTGGCTTAGGAGAGGTTCCAGGTTTCGGAGGTTCGTGGTTTTCGGACGTTTTCGTCGGCTCTCGGCGGCTTTGCTCTGCGGTGAGAGAGGGGTGGGGAGTGAGAAGGAGAAGGCCTTCTCAGAAGGCGGCGGGACTTCTCAGAAGCCCTTGAGCCTCATGACAGGTTTCTGCGTTTTCGGGGAAGGCTTAGACAACTTCTCAGTAGGCCAGCGGCTTCAGAGCCTTCTGAGGAGGCCCGCCCCTTCTCACTTGCCCCCCAGGCTCGCCGCCGATTTGCAGCCTCAGGATAGCTTCAGCGGCTGCCCCTCGCCGAGAGCGTTCCGGGGGTGCCCAGATCTTCTCTAACGGCCGCCGGAGACCCGAGTTATTGCCCGAAAGCCAAGGGGCAATTTTATGGGAGGAATTTCGTGACATGGTGACTCCTCTCTGCAGACTCCGCCGTGCCCTCCAGGGGCCTCTTCCCTGGCCACACATTAACGGCACTGGAGATGCAGATTTCGCGAGCGGAGACTAAGCTCCGTGACTGACCACGCAAACTTGAAATCCGGACCAAGGGAGAGGGGGAGGAGGGGAAGGGGCGGACGAGGAGGAAGAAGAAGAGGAGGGGAGCCCAGGCAGGTTGTCCCCGAGGCAGCCAGAAGCACTAACAAGCACACCGAACTACCTCCGCCCGAGCACCAATCTTGTTCTCTTAAGCACTGGCGGAAAAAGCGGTTGCATTTGAGAGGCATTGTACTCCTCACTTACAGCCGGTATGAGTTACTTTACATCATCCCAGCCCAACCAGCTGGACATTTACACCCTGAGACTGTTAACAAAACAGAAAAACGGGGTGTGCCATGTGCCTGTACCCCCCGAGGCCTGGACAGCCGTTGGTACGTTCCACATCGTACACACGAGGGCGAGGCGGAGAGGAGAGGAGGAGGTGACAACTTCATCGCGCCGGAAAAAAAAATGATGGGAGGGATAGGCTCAGGGGGGGATGCGTTGGCCCCCAATCGCCCATTCATCGCCGTTGGGGCTGGAGCGCCCACCCCGTCCAGAAACGTGCTGATTCGCTGTCGAGGCCCGTCCAAATCTACTCGCGCTGTATCGCCGATCTCGGGTTGATGTTTTTCCTCCCCCCCCCTGAGCCGCTCCCCCCTAGCGTTCCCCCTCATGAGGTGTCGATGATCAGTCGCGCGCTCGCAGACGCCAGCGATTTGTTGGTCGTTCCCGCGTATCTCGAGGAAGAGGACTCTGCATAAATGGACTCCTGGAGGCCCCCGCGGACATCTCGGATCGGCGCTGGAGCCCCCTCCCTGGCGCGCAGAGCACGCCAGGAGCGGCGCCGCAGGCGTCGCAAGGGATCTTCAGCGCCCATCCGAGAAATCCGCACGGACCGCCGACAGTTTCTGCTTATGCCGTTTTGTGTTCCTCGAATATCTGGCCCTGAGCGTCTGGATATTCACCTCCAGCCTGTTCATGTGGCTCGAGAACTACTGGGGGCACTGGCTCGAGGGGACCCCCGTGCAGGACGGCGAGGTCTCCACCGGCGACGACGCCATGACTTCGGTGCCCGCGTCGATGTACTGGTGCAGTATCTTCCTGACGGGGGACCCCCACCTCCTTTCGTTACGAAGGAAATCGCGACGATGTTTTTGTTGCCAAGTTTGGACCTCGAGGGGCCCTCACCGGGCCCCAGGACAGTGGAAGCCTCACTCAGGATGGAAATCCAGTTCTTTGGAAGGGGTCCAGACCTCTAGAGGGCCACGTTGGTAAAAATCACGAGAAAGCAACATAAGCGTAAGTTTTCGGAGGTCCGCTCGGGCTCCTTGGAGACAGTCTTTCTTTAGACTCTGGCAGGTTTACTTGCATGGATGGGAGAGGGGGGGGGCGGCGTGGCGAGGCCCGACAGGAAGGAGATCTGGACTTCACGCACATTGGGACTCACTTGCGGGCCTTTCCGGCCCAACGCCGTCTGAAAAGGCGGCGGAGGAAGGGCGGCGGAGGGGGGAGGCAACATGCCATGCAAGCAGACTTGCCAGAGTCTTAAGGCAAACACGTTCAGCGCTGCCTCCCGCGGCGGCGCCTCCGGCGCCGCTCCTGGCGTGCTCCGCGCGCCAGGAAGGTTGAGTCCAGCGCCGGTCCGATAAGTCTGCGCGGACCTCTGAAAGTTTATGTTTTACAGTTTCCACTTCCTATAGGAGTGGGCCAACGTGGACTTCACCTTTGCCGCCTCCCGCCTGTGCATCCTCTACGTGATATTCGGCATCGCCATGTTCTCGATCCCGGTGGGCATCATCGTGGAGGCCGTGCAGAGCACCATAGAGTTGATAGCGCAGGAGTCGGGGGGCGGACAAGAGGGGGGTGGTGACGAACCGGGGGTGGATACCAAGGCCTTGGCTGTGAGATCTGCTGGGATCTCATTGTCCCTTTCTTCTTTCACTACGTCACCTGGAGCCTGTTTTTTTGGATTCAGGTAAGTTTACTTGCATGGCGTTCGCCCCCCCCCCCCCCCTCTCGCCCTTCTTCAAGCGAATACTGGCGTGCAAGTGCCTCTCGACTCGCGTGATTTCCGCGCCCCCCCCCCCGGGCTTGCTTCAGGCTCAGCCCCCCCCCCGTCCATGCAAGTAAACTCGCCAGAGTCTAAAAAAACAGGCTCCCGGTCCCTCCATCGCCCGCGCACAATGAGCGACGGAAGAGAAAGCGAAGGTCGACGGCGCGGACCTTCGTGCCGAAGTTTTTCCGCGCAACATCGCACGCAAGCGCCCTCTTCTCCACGCGGTGTGCCACGGCTGAGCCACGCGGCCCGCGTGAGCCGCGGCTAAGGTCGCCGTGCCTTCTTGCGTAATGGAGGATTACGATTAATAAATGACCAGGGGTCGTGTTCACGCGGCGGCGCCCGGGATGACGATTAGAAAAACCGGCCGCGGGCTGGAAAACTATTTTCTTTATCGTTCCCCGCCAGTGAGAAGATTGTGCAGAAATGACAGAAAACTGTTTTTTAATCGTTCCCCCCTCATTTTTATTAATTGTCATCCCGCATCAAGACCTGTTTTTCTCTTCTTCCGCGCGCATGCCTCCGTCCATGATATTTCCGCCCCCCCCTCTTGGACGCCCCCCCCTCGTGGTCGGCCCCGCAGGAGGAGGCGGACGTGCAAACCTGGGAGGCTCCGCCGGCCGACTCCGACGAGGGCAAGGGGAGGATAACGGTTCGACCCAAGCTCGAGGAGCAAGAAGCAGTATCGAAGCGTCTCACAATTGTGGATAAGAGTGAGGGGGCAGGCGAGGGGTGGGTCGCGAGTAGGTCTCGGGGTGGGTCGCGGGGTGGGTTGCGGGGGTAGGTTGCGGGGTGGGTCGCGGGGTGGGTCGCGGGGGGGTCGTGGGTGAGGACGATGACAACGACAACGACCACAACAACCACAACAACCACACCAACCACAACAACCACAACGACAACAATCGCAACAACAACAATAACAACAACAACGGCAACAACAACAAAACAAAATCAGCAACAACGCACATACTCTGCGCCGCGGAATTCCACTTCAGCCACCACCCACGGACGGCGTAAGACCGTTCGGCCCCCTCACTCTGATGAGCATATGCTTCTGTTGCTTCGCACGGATTTCTTGGGTCTGCGCTGGGCCCCGCTGGCGGCGCCTGCGGCGCCGCCCCTGGCGCGCCCCGCGCGCCACGGAGGGGGCTCCAGCACAGATCCAAGAAATCCGCGTGGAGCTTCGAAAGTTTATGTGTATGCAGCTCTTTCTTCCTCTGTAAGCGGTGCTTTTTGGCGATTTCGTTGACCGTGTTCATTTCGATTTGATTTTGCAGCAGAGGCTGGACGAATACGAAACAAGGGGAAGCGAACACGAGTCGGAACCAAACACCGCTTTTTACGGCCGGGAATTTTGGCTTAGCTTGTCGCTTCTCCAGTTCTGGCCCACAACGCTTTGCTCAACACGCTATCCACGTCCCCATTCCCAAGCGTCAGCGTCCCGAGCTGTTCCCAGGCCTCCCGCCCCGCGGAGCTGCGCGACGCGCGATCCGCTTTCAAGGCACAGCGTGTCGCCGGGGCCACCGCCGCGACTCGCCGTGCAGAAGTTCCTGACCGTAGGTCGAGCCCTGGTACAACAGGGCTAGGATCGGGATAAATCGCTCCAGAGCGTTCCGGAGCGCTCTCAGAGCGTTCCGGAACGCTCTGGAGCGGCCGCGGCGCCCAATACATCCTCCAAACCCGCCGATTCTCACAGATTTCGAGTTATCCCGATCCGATTTTGTCCCGATCTTCGCGTCGTTTTACCTGGTGAGGAGCATCAGGAAGACCGTCCAGAGCGCCGCCCTGCTCAAAGAGCGGGGCAGCAGGGGCAGCGCGGAGCTGGAGATGGTGACGGTCTCCCGCGGCTGATCCGACGACTGCCCGAGCAGGGTGAGTAGCAGGAGGGAGGGGAGGATGAGCTGGACTCAGAGGACAACCAGGTACCGATACCGCTACCCTTGCCTCCCTCTTGCCTTTTTGTGCCTCCCTGGAGGCCCTCGTCGCCAACGCCAGATTCGCTTCGAGATTCTTGGCAGAACGCATCCCGCGAGAGGTCGGGGCAGGAAGTACCTGTATCGGTATCTCTTGGTTTCCCCAAGCCCACGGAGGAGGGGGGGAGGATGAGGTGGACGGTGAGGACGATGATTGCCGCATGCGCTACACGCTTGAAGGATGCCTAGACCCATCTTCGGGGATGGGGCGACCGTCAGAGAAGCGCGAGAGAATGGGATAATGTATCAGGTGCCCACCGCTGTTTAGCGAAACGCTGGATTCATTGCCCAGTCCCCCAAATGTTGATGGGGATGAAGAGGAAGGGGGGGAAGATGACGAGGGGGAGGAGAAGCACGTGGAGTGGTGAAGGTCACCTGAGGTACGTGGAGGTATCCAGAGGTCCCTAGAGGTTCTTGGAAGCAGCAAGAACATCGAGAACATCAAAACACCTAGGGCTTCGAAGTTCGACTAAGATGAGGGGTGAAGGATGTGTACACGTACGCACCTGACAGCACGCGTCCGAGAGAGGCGGAGAGCAGAGTCATAGCAAGAGAGAGAGAGAGAGAGAGAAAAAGAGAGACAGAGAGATCGAGAGACAGAGAGAGAGGGAGTTCGAGTCTAGAGCGAGAGAGAGAGATAGAGAGAGAAGGAGGAAGAGATGGCGAGAGAGCACTCCTCGAGACAATATCGCGAACTACCGGCATGCATGCTCGCGGTTCTTGGGTCAGGCAATGGTACTTATACATCTAACGGGGGACCGGGTCCGGGGGCCTGGGGCCGGGACCCCGACTGCAAATGTGGGACCCGGCGCGCCGGGCGCGCCGGGAGCCCTGCCGGAGCGCCGGGGGCCGTCCAAGATCGCCCGAAGATGGCTTCGGAACGCTCGAATGCGCGCTCCGATGGCTCCGGATGCCTTACAAGACGACTCCCATGACGCCAAAAAGGCCCCCGAAGGCCCCGAAGACGCCCCAAGGGGCACCCCGAGAGAGCCCCAATAAGCAAACATCGCAGACTTCTTTTAGGGAAACTGATTGTTTTGGCGTGTTCGCCTTTTGGGCTTCCACTGCGTCCAAGACGGCCCAAGAGGCCCCTGAAGCCGGTCGAGGATGCCCCCGAGGCGCCCAAACCGCCCAAGAACGCCCCAAGGCGGCGCCCAAGAAGGGGACGAGGAACCAGAAATTCGCGTCTTTTGGCCCAAGAGACCCCAGGAGACTCCAAGAGGCTCCAAGAAGCGCCCAAGAAACCCCAAGAGGTCCCCAAGAGACCAGCAAAAACACAAAAAGAGGCCCGGAACACGCCTCAAGGGGCACCCCAATAGAGCCTCAAATAAGCAGCAATCGTCGATTTCTTATAGTGAAACTGATACTTTTGGCGTGTTCGCCTTTTGGGCTTCCACTGCGTCCAAGAAGGCCCCCGAAGGCCCCGAAGACGCCCCAAGGGGCACCCCGAGAGAGCCCCAATAAGCAAACATCGCAGACTTCTTTTAGGGAAACTGATTGTTTTGGCGTGTTCGCCTTCTGGGCTTCCACTGCGTCCAAGAAGGCCCAAGAGGCCCCTGAAGCCGGTTGAGGATGCCCCCGAGAGGGCCCCAAGACGGCCCACGAGGGGGCCAAGACGGCCCACGACGCGCCCAAACCGCCCAAGAACGCCCCAAGTCGGCGCCCAAGACGGGGACGAGGAACCGAAGATTGGAGCGTTTTGGCCCAAGAGGCCCCCAGGAGACCCCGAGAGGTTCCAAGAAGCGCCCAAGAAACCCCAAGTGGCCCCCAAGAGACCCGAACAAACACTAACAGGGGGCCCGAAACAACCCCTCAACGGGCCCCCCAAAACGGCCCAAGAGAGCCCCAGGGCGCGCCCAAGAGGGTCGACCAGAGAGCTGGTCCGGCAGTCCACGCTCTACACAGGGTCCGTGCCCGGCGGTGCCTCAACACCGACATCACCCCGTTTTTTTGCATAATGATTGTGCAGTCAGCGCTGAGAAGCGGAGATGGTAAGATACAAGACGACAAAGCAGGTCTTGAACGTAACCGCCTTTGGCTTTGAGAATCTCCGCGTTGGCTTCGAGTGATCGAGGCCTCGGAAGGCCATCGGAAGCGAAAAGGCGAGAAGGCACACTTAGGTTTTTTTCTCTAGGTTGTTGAAGGGTTTGGCACACTTGTGTGAAGTCTCGGATGCATCTTGGAGCCGTCTTGGAGCGTTCTTGGAGCTTCTGGGAGCATCTTGGGAGCCATCTTGAGGCATCTTGGGCTATATTGATCCATCTTGGAGGTCATCGTGGGCTCTCTGAAGCCCTCTTGGAGCCGTCTTGGGCGAAACAATACCCTCTGACACCTTGCGGGGCGCCCCGTCCAGGTCCAGGGGAGGGGTCAAGACACCCACCCGCCCGCAAACTGTCTAGCTCTCTCCCACCCGCCCTCCCAACACATAAGTAACGCCCGAGCCTCAGCATGTTCAGCGGTCGTCTTTGGATGGACAGCTACTGGGAACCAAAGCCGACCCCAGGTCGAGATGCGCCACGCGTGCCAGGGGCGCCAGGCACACCTGGGGCCCGAGCGTGCCAGGCACGCCTGGTGCGCTAGATGCGCCACGTGCTCCGAGTGCGCCAGGTGTGCCGCATACTCCAGCTGCGCCAGGTGCGCCACGTTCGGGGCACGTGCAGAGTGCGCCAGTTGCGCTTGCGCACGTGACACAACACATCGGGAAGCATGTCGGCCCCCACCATCGTTGCGGAAAAGCAATGCCCATCACTGTGTCTGGTCGGCCTGCGAACAGCAGGCCACGCGCACCACCCCCGCCGTCCCTGTCAAAAACCATTTGGCAGTGATCGCGGGGTGGCCGCGAATGATCCACAGTTTGCCGCGAGGTGCATGTTGTATTGTTTTTGTTGGGGCTGGTAGCCCTGCGCACAACAGGGAATATGCTGACATCCCCGCCGTCCCTGACAAAAGCGATACACAGTGATCGCGGGCCTCACGAACATGATTCTATAGGCTTACGCCACATCCGCCGACCCCTCATCTTGGCGGTCTTGCCGGAACCTCGGTCGGGTTCACAGCCCACAGTTGCCAGGCGTATCAGTGCGGCGGCGCGTGCAAGAGAAGACTACCGACGTCGGCGTTCTCCGGGAACCCTGCCAACGTCGCACGCGATGCAAAAAAGGGCACCCTGATATGCAAGACCTGCAAATGATGCCCAATCGGGGGCGCGCGTGCGGGGGAGGACAGGGGGGAGGGGGAGAGAGGGATGGGGGGTGAGGCGGAGGATGGGGGGAGAAGAATCGGGGAGGAAGAGGAGGAGGCGGGGGAGGAGAGGAGGAGTGGGCGAGGAGGAGGTGGAGGAGGAGGAGGAGGAGAGGGGGAGGACGGGGACACAGAGACGAAACTCTGGGATATGTGCTATTGGTTAGAGGCTTTTTGTATGTGTATAGGGATCTCGTGGCACGCCTCTCGGGGACCTCTGGAAAGCAGTTTTGAACCCACCTGGCGGCCGAGGTGGAGGAGGAGGAGGAGGAGAAGGAGGAAGGGGACACAGAAACAAGGCTCTGGGTTATGGGTTTTGGGTTAGAGGCGTCTTGCACCAGCTTGGGACCAATTTGGAGACAGGTTTTGCCGTCGTGGGGTCGTCTTAGGCCGAATTGGGAGGCGTCCTGGGCCGTGTTGGGATTCTCTGGGGCCGTCATGAGGCCCTCTTGGGGCGCCGTGGGGCGATCTTGGAGGCTCTTTGGGCTACGTGAGCCGACGGAAGCCGGGACAGGCAACAATTGCAAACATGTTCAACAACGCAATGGAAATGTAATGAAATGCGTAATGTGCGCCTTTTTCAGATGTCCTGGGGGTCTTCTTGGAGACTTCGTGGGCGATAGTGAAAGCCTTGTAGGCCATCTTGAGGCCATTTTGGGCCGTCTTCGAACGTTCTTGGGCCGTGTTGGAGCCATCTTGGGCCGTTTTGGAGCCATCCTGGGCCGTTTTGGAGCAATCTTGGCTTCGAGAGCGCGAATCCTTTTTTTGTGCGCAAACGCAACCCCGCCACCGTGCCTGGGTTGTTGATATGAGACTTGTGCTGTGATCGTTGGGATCTCTTGGGGGGCTTCTCGCGGGACTCTTGGAGGCAGTTTCGAAGCCTCTTGGGGGCCGTTTTGAGGCCGTTTTGGAGCCTCTTGGGGGCCTCTTGGGGCCTCTTGTGGGCGTCTTGGGGGCCTCTTGGGGCCTCTTGGGGCCTTCTGGGGCCGTCTTGGGGCGGAAGGCTCGGATTGTTGGTTCGGGCTCCCCCTCTTGGGCACCTCTTGGGGCCGTGTTGGGGCCCTCTTGGGCTGTTTTGGGGGCCTCTTGGGCGTCTTCAACGCCGTGAAGGCCGAGAAGTAGTATATGATCAAAATGTACGTTTTCCCATCGGAATTTGACGATTTTCAGCGCTTCGGCCCTTCTGAGGACTGCTCTTGGAGGCCTCTTGGGCCGTCTTGGAGGCCTCTAGGCTCGTCTTGGGGGCATCTTGGGCGTCTGGGAGCGCTCGTTAGGCGCCTCGGAGCTCTCGTGAGCCGTCTTGGAGGAGTCTTGGGGCCTTCTTGGCCCGTCTTGCTCCCCTTTTGGGCCCAAAAGAGCCCCGTGACGCCCTCGTCGTGGGCCCGGGGGGGGGGGTCAAATCTCCGGTTTGGGGTCCCAGGGGGGGGGGTTAGGGGGGGGGAACTATCTCACACGCCTAGAGACCCACAAGGGGTCGGCGGATTCCAGATTTTGCCCTAATGTGTATTTTGTAGTTTTGGTTGACAGGGATGGTGTGTGCGGGGGGGCATCGGGCTGGCCGCGCGTGCTCCAAATGTGGATGCAGATTTCGTTTTGGAGTGTTTTTTGACAGGGATAATGTAGGGGGGTGATCATGGT